TCATCATATCTGCAGGATTCTCCGTCGTCTTGATCTTCTTCAACACAACGGTTCCATCTTCTAGAATCTCCCGCACAAAGTGATAGCGAACATCAATATGCTTCGTTCTTGAATGAAATACTTGATTTTTCGCTAAGTGAATAGCGCTCTGACTGTCACAATGCACTAAGACGTGCTTTTGACCAACTCCCAAGTCTTCAAGCAAACTTTGAAGCCAAATAGCCTCCTTCACAGCTTCAGTAACCGCCATATACTCTGCCTCTGTTGTAGACAAAGCAACTGTTGACTGTAAGGTAGACTTCCAACTGACTGGAGCTTTTGCAAAAGTGAACAAATATCCAGTCGTTGATCTTCGCTTATCCAAATCACCCCCGTAGTCAGAATCACAATATCCAACTACACACTGACCAACTTCATTCTGCTCATAAACCAATCCAACGTCTACAGTACTATGAATGTATCGTAGAATCCATTTCACAGCTTGCCAATGACCTTTCCCAGGGTCATGCATATACCTGCTAACAACACCAACTGCTTGTGAAATGTCGGACCTTGTACACACCATCGCCTACATCAAACTGCCAACTGCATTTGCATATGGGACTCTAGCCATGTACTCTCGTTCTTCATCACAATTTGGCGATAACTGGGCACTTAACTTCAAATAAGGGGCAAGTGGTGTACTTACTGGCTTCGACTCATCTTTTATGCCGAAACGCTGTAGTACCTTATTCAGATATTGCTTCTGAGTCAAACAAAGCTTGCCTCTCACTCTGTCCCTGCTTATCTCCATCCCGAGAATCTTCTTAGCTTCCCCCAAGTCTTTCATCTCAAACTCTTGATTCAACTGAGCCTTCAATTGATCAATCTCCACTTGGCTCTTTGATGCAACCAACATGTCATCCACATACAAGAGTAAATAAATGAAAGATCCATCTTGCAGCTTGCGTAAATACACACAATGATCATGTCTGCTTCGCGTGTACTTCTGCCCAATCATAAACTTATCAAACCGTTTGTACCACTGCCTCGGAGATTGCTTCAGTCCGTACTACGATTTGTTCAACTTACAGACCCAATTCTCTTTTCCAAGAATTTTGAATCCTTCTGGCTGAGTCATGTAGATTTCCTCATCCAAATCTCCGTGTAAGAACGCCGTCTTCACGTCAAGTTGAGCTAGCTCTAAATCCAACTGTGCTGCTAAGGCCAACAAAATTCTAATGGAAGAGTGTTTAACAACTGGAGAAAACACTTCATTATCCTTCCTTCTAAGCGTAGCCTTTAGCCACTAACCTTGCCTTGTAGCGCACATCATTCTTATGAGGAAATCCATCTTTCTTTGCAAATACCCACTTGCATCCTATCGCCCTTTTGCCTTTTGGTAGTTGCGTCACCTTCCAAGTTTGATTCTTCTGGAGAGACAACATTTCTTCCTCCATAGCCCACTTCCACTTCTCATTTTCTAAACTTCGAATTGCATCTTGAAAAGTGAAAGGTATGTCATCATCAACAATTGGAAGTGCATAAACCACCATATCCGCCAATCGAGCAGGTTGTTGAATCTCTCGTCTAGGCTTTCTCAATGCAATGGGTAAATCTAATGATTCATGAGTCTGAACTTCATCATCCGACGAATCGTTTGATATTGTTTCGTCGATCATAGCTGGTTGTCTCGTCATCGCATCTATCTCCACCTGCTTCGGTGTCAACTCCACATGTTGGGTTTGCATCGTCTTCATCATACTTTGTTCATCGAATGTAACATCCCTGCTAAACACAGTTTTCTTCGTCTCAAGACACAAAAGACGATATCCTTTCACGCCAATTGTGATTCACATGAACAAAGCCTTTTTCGCTCTTGGATCTAACTTTGAATCCTTCACATGATAGAACGTAGGACACCCAAAGACATGTAAAGATCCATAGTCAGCAACAAGTTTCCCCGACCAAACCTCCAACGGTGTTTTACCATCTTTTGCAGATGACGGCAAACGATTTATGAGGTGTTGCGCATATGTTACAGCCTCAGCCCAGTACTCCTTGCCCAAACCAGCATTGGACAACATACATCAAACTTTCTCCACCAATGTTCGATTCATGCGCTCCGCCACCCCATTTTGTTGTGGTGTCCGTCTAACGGTGAAGTGCCTAACAATGCCATTTTTACGGCAAACTTCTTGAAAGGGATCGTTTGTATATTCTCCACCATTGTCCGTTCGTAGGACCTTGATCTTCCTTCCAGTCTGATTCTCAATTTGTGTCTTCCATGTAATGAAGACACCAAGCACTTCATCCTTCGTCTTCATAGTGTATACCCAAACACGTCTGGAAAAGTCATCGATGAAAGTGACAAAATAGCGCCTTCCGCCTAATGATGGGGTCTTAGAAGGTCCCCAAACATCCGAATGAACATAATCCAAGACACCTTCGGTATTATGGATAGCCGTATCAAACTTCACTCTCTTCTGCTTTCCCAAAACACAGTGCTCACAAAAGTCTAGTTTGCACACTTTGACATCTTTCAACAGTCCTTGTTTTGCCAATGTTTGCAAAGACTTTTCACCAGCATGTCCCAACCGCATATGCCACAAATTGACTGCTTCAGACTCCTTGTTGGTGGAATCTGCTACTGTTACTGTCCCAACAACCGTATCACCTTCATAGTAGTACAAATTATTCCTCCTTATGCCTTTCATCACCACGAGCGAGCCGGATGTAGCCTTCATAACTCCATCTCGCAAAGTCACTACCAAGCCTTTGGATTCCAAGGCTCCTAATGAGATGAGGTTTTTCTTCAAACTCGGCACGTACCGAACATCCGTCAAAACTCTAGTGGAACCATCGCGATTCTTCAGACGGATTGAACCTATCCCAGTTGTCTTACAGGCATTATCATTACCCATATAGACAACCCCTCCATTGGTCTCCTGAAAATTGAAGAAC